GTATCGGTGCTACATAGTATATTACCAAGTCAAATGACATAGAATACAATCCCATTTAAATTTAGCGGCTGTCAATCTCGAGAAATTAGGAACTTTGAAATTTATATCATTATAAGAATAAAAAATTTTATTTTCAATCTTAACCATTAATTTAATAAGTTAAAATAGTTAGTTATAAAAAAAAAAATACTAAGATTGAGAAACTCATGTTCTCCGACCAACGCAAAAATTTAAAGAGAGCGTCATTGTATTACGTCAGTACCATTAGCTCTAATGCTTACCGCAGCTCATCAATTAATTAGCTTATTTTACTAATGTGTTTTTAAGGTGCATTTGGAATTATTATTTTTTTAGTTGATATATAACATATATTTTGTATTTAGTTGACATATTTTTGTTTATAATTATAAAATATCATTTTATTTTTATAATATTTTTATTTGTAATATTATTAAATATATGGTGAAAAGAAAAATATGTTATCTTCATTCAGGATTAGTATTTATCATTTTAAATGACATAAACGTATTTTATTTTTAGTGAAAAAAAGATATAAATAGTGCAAATCATGCGGGAGAAAGAGTGAAAGGTTTTTTCTTAATTTAAATTTTAAATAAAAAACATTATTTTTAATTAAAATGATCATCTTTAAAAGGACAAATATTCATTCTTTTAAAAGATATAAACGTATTTTATTTTTACTAAGAAAAAGATATAGATAATGCAAATCATGCGGGGGAGAGAGAGTGAAAGGTTTTTTCTTAATTTAAATTTTAAATAAAAACACTATTTTTAATTAAAATGATCATCTTTGAAAGGACAAATATTTTCCCGTTTTCATTAAATTTTATAAATTATTACAAATAAAAAACAAAATAAAAGTATTTCAAAAAAAAAAAGAAGTCAAGTGATATTTTTGTAATTAGGGAGAAAAATATATTAAATATAAGTAAAATATAAACACAATTTGTGAAGTTATTAGCTTAATTCAACAACATTTTCACTCGGATTCTAGATTACTCGGTTGGAACTAGGAAAAGAGGATCAAGCATAAATTTAGCACGTAATTCATTTATTATTTGTAATTAAACCATATTTATAGCAGTTGCTATATCTAAAGATTCTAAACTATAATTAAACTCGCTCGATCAAATGAATATAATCAGCAGTTAAGTCGTAACGTCTTAAGCAAGAAATGATATAGAAGTGACAACTGTTTTTATCGTTTCCATCCTATGTGTTACTATAAGTTACGTATACGTAATTATTTATTTGTCAACTTCTTCTCTTGTTTAAATAAAAATTAAACAATTAACGGGAAAAAAAATAAGAAATTACGAAAATATAATATTTTCAAATCGATTTATGACTCTATACTAATCAGTCATACCTACAATTAAACAATTAAGCGCGTCTCACCCGGTGATAACAATTGGCACAAAAAAATCAATAGTTTGATCATAAAACTTCGGAAGATCATAATTTTTGACTCAAGTGTCTAAATTAGATTTTTTTTATTCAAAATAATTTTTCGAGATATATGCAATGATATCTCATTTAAGGGTATTTGGTTAAAAAATTTGCAACAATGGTACCACCCCAAGAGCTCAAATTTACTGTAAAACTTTAAAAGACCATAATTTTTGACTCTGGAATCCAAATAAGGTGATTTTCTTATATTTCGCATAATTTTTTAAGATTTATGTATTGAAAAATTTTCGGAGGATTATTTGTTAGTATTGAAAAAGTAAAATTTAAATAACATTATTCACAAAGATAAAATATGCTGAATGAAACATAAAGAAGCACTTTTTAGGAAATGTTTTTGACCAAATCCCCTCCAGAGTCAAAATTTTGACCAAATTAGGTGATAAAATATGCTATCAAAAAGCTATAAGAAATAAAAAAGCACCTAATTTAGACATCCGAGTCAAAAGTTATGATCTTTCAAAATTTTACGGTAAAACATCTCATTAAAAAATAAAAAATTTTGACCAAATTTTCTTCAATGAGATGTCATTGCTTAGATATCGAAAAATTACATGTAATAAAAAAAATTACTTGATTTGGATACCCGAGTCACCTTTGAAAATTTTACGATCAAACCGTTTGATTTTTTTGTGCCACATGTCAGCACCAAGTGGGTCGCGACCAAATTAGGGGCGATCGTGCACCCTATTGTGCCCTGTCACGCTCATTTTGGACGTGACTGATTTTCGTAATTTTTTATTTAAATAATAATATTTTGATTTTCTCCCCCACAATTAACGTGTTTTCATATTTGAGGAATGCTAACTCGTTTTAAACATAAATAAATACTATATTTAATTTGTTATCATCTTAATAAAGCTACCATTGCGTAAAACTTTCTTTAAAGAAGAGTCTTAATAATTGCTTTTTATTGTGCAAAATCTAAAAAGTATTTTCAGTAATTTTATGAAATTGAATAATGCGTCACTTATTAAGGTAAAAAAAAACTCATTTAATTATATTTATTTTATTCAGTTTTTATTATTAATACCACACAAGTCTTACTTATTACTAAATTTAATAAAGGAATACATAATACTACTGAAATACGAAAGTTTAGTCCAATAATTGAAAGAGAGCGTCACCGTTTTACGTCAATACCCTGAGCTCTACGTGCTTACCCAAGCACATCAATTAGCTGTATTTGCTAGTGTGTATCTGAGGTGGTTCTCGTTTTTTTTTTTTTTGAGTTGATAATTTTTTGTTTACAATTATAAAATGTCATTTTATTTTTCATATTATTTTTTATTTTGAAATAATATAAATAAATAGTGGAAAGAAGATTATATTTATTTCCATTATTTGTATAAGGTATTAATTAAAAATTATAAGTTAAAGTAATATTTTTATAATTACGAACAAAATTCATTACACAAAAGTAAAATATAACACAATTAATGAAGTTATTAGCTTAATTCAACAACATTTTCACACGGAATTCACCAACGCCACCTTCTCCTTGATCTATATAAATATTGGACTGGAAAAATAGGCTCAAGCATAAGTTTAGACTAAATTAATTTATTTTTTGTAATTTTCAACATTTCTGCAAACGAACATATACAAATGATATGATATCTATAGCAATTGCCGCCAAAAAAGGGAAAAAAATCTGCAAGAGTTGATATATATTAGAGAATAATGTAAATCATTAAAAAAAGACATAACCTAACCATTTAAGTTTTTTGGTTGCATTTATTCTTTACACTATATTCTTAAATATTTATTGGTGACTAATTTTATGAAAAAAATGTATCATTTTAAATGACACAAGTAGTGTCATTTCATAAACACAAAAGGGAGTTGGTCGCACTAAAAGAAGTAAAGACAAAAAAAAGTAAAGGTATGTATTTCACCTCTTTGTGTTTATGAAATGACACATTTTGTGTCATTTAAAATGACATACATTTTTCTCTAAACTAAAATATGTAAATGAGTCTTACTTGTTAATGACTGATTTTTTGTTATTAGTTAGTAATTAATTAAGAAAAATTAATAATGACTCTCTAAAGGTGCTTTTGTTCATGAAGAAAAATATTAACACCTAAGATAAATTTGGTATAGTCTTTCTTAATATTTTAAACTTAATGTCTCTTAAATTAAATATTTTCTTTTTTTTTAACCCAAAAAAAATATTTTCTTTTTTTGTACCCTAAAAAAATATTTTCTTTTACCCTTCCTTGACATTAATTATTTTCAACATTGTGTAATGCAGTAGAATATGGAAAATGATCATGACAAATATACTATTTGACACACTCTTTCCAACAGATTCTTTTTTATTGAATGACTTTAATGTGAGTCCTCCTAAATAATGAATTTATTCTTTATTTAGTGAAACCCACTATATATAATTCATTCAATAATAAAAAAATGTCAAAGATTATATTCGTAGCGTTATTTATAATTGTTTATAGGATGTACAGTGACCGGTACTAAAATTTGATGCCGTTGAAAAATTATAACTATGTATTATGGAGAGTACATTGTTATAATATTAAAGTTATATTTTTTTTTTCTCTTCAAAGTTTTAATTATGTACTATAGGTAATACATAGTTATAATATTAAAACTGTTTTTTTTTTTCTTTCTCCTCAATAACTTTTCAGACAATTGTCGGGCAACTTAGGAGAGAGAAAATAAATAATTTTAAATATTATAATTATGTACTACTCGACACTCGTAGTACATAATTAAATTTATGAAGAGAAATAAAAAATACAATTTTAATATTATAACTATATACTAATCGTAGTGTATAATTATAATGACCGCATCAAATATTATATTCAGATGACAAATCAGTTTGCCTTGGTTTTATTTGGTGCCGGCGGGTGTTATTTTTTAAAGAAGGAATCATAAAACTGAGAGTTAGTCATTCGAGGGTCCAAGTATCTCTCTAACCCCCTAAAAAATAAGAAGCTGTAGAAATCTCAGACCGTGTTTAGCGAAAGTTTTGCATTAGTTTATAATAATATTTAATGAACTGCGTAAGGTATAGTAATCTTCCGGTATATATACGTTAAGGATAATGTTATACTACAAAGTTTTGTTTATAAATTTTTACAAACTATACTATGTCTGACCGGTCATACTTTAGTGTCTGATCGATTATATTTAATATAATTTATAAAAATAATTTGTAAACAGATGTTTCTCCCGTATATTAATTAGCCGACTCATTTATAGCCTTTTATGCTCTCGCGTCATTTGGTTTCCACATGCAACTCGTGGATTCATTAATAACTAACAACAGGACTAGTTGCTATTTTTTATTTAATAAATTTTTCTTTATTCATGGCACTTATTAAAATGCACACGTTAACAATTTGTTTTTCCTTTTTAAAAAAAAAACGCTTCCATGTCTCCTCTATATATAGGGGTGTGATATGGCTTTGATAAATCATAGAATAGAAGAAGGATATAAATCACAACAATATATAGAGAAAGAGTGAAACACGGAAAAAAGAGAAACAAGAATGGAAGTGACACAAGTACTGCACATGAATGGAGGCATTGGAGAAACAAGCTATGCAAACAACTCCTTAGTTCAGGTATAATACATGTAAATTTATCAATTTTTCACTCCCTTGCATTAATTGCAACTTCATATATAACACGTATGTATTTATTTTATGCCATTGGTTTGAATGAATGCTACACAGCAAAGGGTGATTTCTCTGACAAAAGCTATGAGAGAGGAAGCCATAACAAGCCTCTACCGTAGCACACTTCCAAGAAGCCTAGCAATTGCAGACTTGGGTTGCTCTTCTGGATCAAACACTTTCTTTGTGATATCTGAAGTTATCAAATCGGTGGAGAAGCTTTGCCGAGAATTGAACCTTGAGTCACCGGAATACCAGGCATTCATGAATGATCTCCCCGGTAATGATTTCAACAACATCTTCATGTCCCTTGGGAGCTTCAAACAGAAACTATGTAATGAAATGGAAGCTGGGATTGGTCCATGCTTTTTCTCTGGGGTTCCCGGTTCTTTCTATGGCAGGCTCTTTCCATCAAAAACTCTGCATTTTATTCATTCCTCGTACAGCCTTCAATGGCTATCTCACGTATATGTTAATTATTATTATTATATAATTAGTTACAGATTTAAGGTTGAAATAATTGTTGTTTATTATTATTATTATTATTATTATTATTATTATTATTATGAGGAATGGATATTTATAATATTTTTCATTTATAACCTCTTACAACTAAATTTTAACCGTTGATTTTTGTCAATCTGACAGTTATAATTTATTGAGAATTATTAAATGTGATCCAATAAATTATAATCGACAGATAGACCGAAATCAACTATTAAAATTTAATTGTAAGTGAAAAGATGTTGTAAATAAAACTGTTATCTAATACTATTATTATTATATTAGTTGTAGATTTAAGGTTGAAATAATTGTATTGATGTTTATTGGGGATTAATTAGGTTCCTGAAGGTGTAGAGAACAATAAGGGGAACATTTACATGGCGAGCACAAGCCCCATAAACGTGCTCAAAGCTTACTACGAGCAATTTCAAAGGGATTTCTCGTTGTTTCTCGAGTGTCGTGCAGAAGAGCTCGTTGAAGGGGGTCGTATGGTTTTAACAACTTTGGGGTGTGTTTGGTACAGGAGAAATTTTTTGGTGACCGGGAATCATGATTAATGGGAATTCAGTAGAAATTGAATTTACTTGGAATCTTACGAAAAATGTGTTTGGTTCGCCAAAATATTACCGGGAATACTGGGTAAAAATTACTGATTCCATATTTGGTTTAGAACAAAATATGACTTGGAATATGAGGTTATTTTACAAAAATAACCCCAAACTATTTTTACTTTTGTAATTGATAGATTGGGTCTAGATTTTTATGTGTATTGGGGTATTTTTGTCTCAAAATTTATTGTTGTGCTTTCTCTTTACTTGGTATTCTGATTGGTATTCCGAATTACCATATTATTTTTGGTAATCTGAATAGTGACTTTTCTTTATAAATCAAATTACCGGTAATCCTTGGATATCCGGGAATCATAATTTATTTCTTCTACCAAACGTGGTAATTATATTTACCAAAGAAAGATTACCGGTAATCCTCTCCAAAAACTTGAACCAAACACCCCCTGGCGACGATCCATCTAGCAAAGAGTGTTGCTATATTTGGGAGCTTCTGGCTGTGGCTCTTAATGACATGGTCTCCGAGGTACACACACATATATATCCTAATAATTAATTAAAGTTTCCTCCTAAATACCTAATCAAAACGAAAACAAAAAAGGTTAGGGGACGAGCAGCTCATGACAAGATTGATAACATTTGTCAAGTTGGTAAATATTTAAACGGAAAAGAAAAAAGAAAAAAATTGCAATTTGTTTTGCCACTAGTAAAATAATCAACCATTTGGTCCTATGACAGTACTATATAGAAAAATTGAGTAATATATATAAACACTTTTTTCATTACAAAAATATTTATAAATTTTTGCAATATTTTTCAACTAAGATTAAGGAATTGTACTATTGATTCCGAAATGATAAATAATTTAACTATAGAGGAAAATGCCTCAGTGAGAAAAAAAATTAAATGGAGAATGTACAATGAATACAATTAATGTACCGTTTGAATTTATTTTAAAAGAAATTGATGGTAGCTCAATTGGTGCATAAAAACTGAGTAGGTGGAGTAAGAGCACGTGTTCGATCCTCCCAGTACTATTTTTGGAGATAAATTTAAAGATTTAATCCTGGATTCGCCCCAAATAAAATTACCTCTTGTGAATTTATCGAGAAAAAAAAAGTTTTTAAAAAGAGGCAAAAGAATGTAAGGTGTTATTTGGTGCATGTGTATAATTAGACTCGGAATTGAAATGCTATTTGTGAGTCTAATTCCATAGAATTGTAAAATAACTATTTTGTACTATTTTTAATGGGAGAATATTCTTTCACATCGGTGTAAACTAAAAAGTTTGACGCATTAAATTTTAACAGTTAATTTTTGTTAATTTAACGATTATAATTTATTGAAAATTAATAATTAATTAATATATGTGATCCAATAAATTATAACCGCTAGATTCACTAGATCAACAGTTAAAATTTGATGTTAAACTTTTTAGTTTGACATCGATATCAAAGTATCTTGCCCAATTTTCAATTCCTAACCTAAATTTTAGGAATTACAATTCTAATCATAAAAATAAAAAATAATATTTTATATTCATTATTAATTATCTTTGTTGCATGTGCAAGTGCAACCCCAACAACCATTGTGGTTGCCGAGCAAACTTTCGGTATATCTAATATACCTAGTTCTTTATTAAAAAGGGTGAAATTTTTTCCCTTTTAACCCGTTTTTTTTTTATTTCCTTCTATATTTCAAAAAAAATTCTCAATTAGTAAACGAATGTACCGAGTTAAAAAGTTTACGTGGTTGACATAATCTCATAACCATCATTGCTCGTGTCAATCCATGTCATCCTCTACAATCCCTCGTATCACTAGTATCTAGGGGTTTGTACAAGTCGAATTGAATTTTTTAAAAAATTGAACAGATTCGGTTCAAAGAATCGAATTTATTTTACCCTCGAACTTATTTTACCCTCAAACCGCTTTGATTCGGTTCGAATACGGTTAAGAATCAGTTCGGATCGAACCTAGTCTAAAAATAAAATAAAAAATAAAGTAATAAAAATAAAAGAAGCCACTAAATAAATAAATAAAAAATAGAAATGAAAAATAAGAGAAAAAGGAAAAAAAAAATTCAGTTTCAGTTAATGAACTGGTTCTTTAAAAATTAATTTTGTTTATGAACTGATATTTAAAAATTATTTATTTTAAGTGCAGTTCAGTTTAATTCACAATTTGATTCTATTTTTTGGTATTTTTCACATCCTGATATCCTTTTGTCACCGTTATTGGCATCCTCTGATTACCGTTGTCATTGGTGTTTTTATCACCATCGTATAATAGCCTGTGTCCTTTGATTATTTATTTGAGTCTACTGATATTTCTAATTTTATCTGACTCTAAAATTGCATCAAACATGGTTAGTTTTTTTTTTATTTTCTTTTCCAAAGAATAGCTAATAATTGTTGAAATCATAATAAGAAAAATTGAAAATCTATATCATTTTGTAAAGTATAGACATAGTGAAAAACGATTTAGCCATTGAGATTACATAGTTTTAATTTATATATGTGATTTTTTTATGAGAAAAATGTTTGTCATTTTAAATGACACAAAGTTATGTTATTTTTAATGAAACTACGTCGTTTTGGTGTGTTTTAACATTCTCTCTTCTCCATTTTTTTTATTTCTAATTTTATAAATTAGAAAAAATGACAAAACACACTAAAACGACGTAGTTTCATTAAAAATGACACAAAGTTATGTCATTTAAAATCACAAACACTAAACCCTTTATTATATTACAACACTTGGTTATTGCTCAAGATTAAATATCTTTTAAAACATTCCTTAAATTTACCTTTTCAAATAAATACATATATACTGTTGGTTGAAAATTATAGATAAATTTGCTCATAAAAGAATTATGGAAATGTTTTATTTGGTTTGGTCTTACAAGGGAATCATAAAGGAAGAGCAAGTGGATTCCTTCAACATCCCTCAGTATACACCATCCCCGTCTGAATTGAAATTAGAGGTTCTAAAAGAAGGTTCATTCACTATCAATCACCTGGAGATATCAAAGGTTAATTGGAATGCTTTTGATTCCGATAGTAGTTTGTCTAAATCCCTCAGTGATGGAGGATATAACGTTACAAAGTGCATGAGGGCCGTGGCTGAACCTTTGTTGGCAAGCCACTTTGGAGAAGCTATCATTGAAGAGGTCTTCGACCGGTATCAAGAAATCTTAACTGATCGAATGTGTAAGGAGAAAACTGAATTCATTAATGTAAGCATATCAATGACCCGAAGCGTATGATCAAGTACGTTGTTTGCTTATTTGTGGTTGCTAAAAAAAAGGATTTATATATGTTGGCTTGTGTTTGCATTATTTTTCTAATAATCAACTGGAAAGTACTATCTGAACAAGGATTTATGATGTTGTATCCTTGCTTGTATTTATCTATGATGTCTGGAAATATATATGTTATAATAAATATATGGAGATTATGATAAATATTGGTCTATGCTTTTTCATCCACGTCGCTAAAAGATGGTTCTGTGAAAATTAAACTTTTGATATTAATTTTTGAGGTCGTATATTCAAAATATCATTTTTTTTCTACTATCATTCCACTGCTATTTTAATTACTATTAGATTCAAAAGTTATTTTTTATTCTCTCTTCGTTCAACTTTTCATCTAATTCAATGGTGATTAGAATGGTAGTGAAGTGGTAGTAGAAAAAATTAATAATATGAATTTCCTATCTCTTAATTTTATATTTGAAGTTTTAAATATTAGAGTCGATATTAATTAAATTACTAGCTCAATTATAATTATAAATCATGTTACAATATATATGCGGGGGCCGAAAATCGTTATCTTAGAAGGAACCTTGGCCCTTCCAAAATTTGCTGAAATACTCAATTAATTTGCAACATTCTTGCTGTTATATATATATGATGGATCAAACCACATTAATTTAGATGAAGACAAAAAATGAGAAAAAGGAATTAAAAAAAAAAGTGGTGGATGGACGCACTACAACAAAACAACATTTGGCTATCAAAAAGAAAGAAAAGAAAAGCAACATTTAGGGGCGATTTTATTTACTTACTAAGGTGGTTTGAATCGCCTCCAATTACTCAATTTGGTGGTTTGAGAATAACACTGTTGAGAGATAAACTGAGGCGGTTCTTATAAACCGTTGGAATCACACCGATGCATGTTTGAAGTATGGATCTGGCGCATGTTCATTTTTTGATTTTTTTTTCTTGTGCTGATTTAATTCCACTAGAAAGTGAGAGAGATGGGGATCAAATTCGTGACCCCATGGTCACCTTGGTTCTTATATAATAAGTAATCAATTCAACTCAACAACTTAAATTTATAAGTAATGAATCTTCAATAATATTATATTATATCTCTCTAACTCCTGTTGATTTACAAGGATTGATAGTGTTAATAACATCGCCCTTTATAATGAACTTCCTAACTCCAGCTTCTCAAAGCCATTTACAACTCCAAAAGCATGCTATGCATTTCTACATCATGAAAGTTGACATATCCTAGAAATGCTTAGTAACCTGCCAGCCAAACACCAGTGGGGTCATGAACAAGCCTCAACAACTACCAACCCTTGTTCTTCTCTTACAAGCAATGTCAAAGTTAAGTTTCACCGGGTCAAGAGGATAGGCATATTGGGATGGGGTTCCTCAAATAGTGCAGAAGCAATCACAGGTTTTCAAGTCAAGCTCTGCAACTCGACACTTTGAGGTTGGCCTGAAGTCAATAGGTTTGTCAATAAGCAGAAATCAGAAAAATGCACAAATGGAGAGATGGAGAGAAAAACACAATAAATTTTAACATGAAAAATCTCCCTCAATGCAGAGAAGTAAAAACCATGAGACTTAGTTCACAAAAACTTATTCTATAACATAATATGATTACAAAAGTCAAGTTTTCCTAGTTACTCTAGTGGTTTACACTCAAACTTCACCAACAATGATGATTATTAAGTTCTTCTCTAAAGAGGTCACACGCTCAATTTTCTCATTAGAAGATTCTCACCCATAGTCTTATATCTCAATAAACCCTTCAAAAGGTTTTGCATTTCTTTATATAGGAGAGGCGAAAACCCTTCACCTCTCTTCTAGAATCTCCTTTAACAATGAGGTAAGTAGTATTCGTTGAGTTGATTGTTCAAACATTGAGCCATGCAATAATAAATTTGGTGCATGCTTAGCCACCAAGCATTAATGGAGGAACACATTCCAATAGGTTAATCCACCCTTTTTGCATTGCATGTGCTATGTTGGGGTTACCACGCTGCTTAGCCATCATGATATCTTGGATCAATATCAAAATAGTTTCTTGGGTGTTCTGCGGGTGGGAAAAGCCATGCTCAAGAATTGTGCGATTCCTCTAAGACTACAAGAACCAACAAGGAGGTGAAAAATACATCTATCCACTTTATATCTCTATCCAGCTTCTAGTCACGTTGCAAATTACTACTGAACCATGTCATTGTATCATAGCTATAAAAAGTGAGTTGCTCGTAGCTAGGTAACCAAAGTCTCCCATAACCTACAGGCATATTTACAATTTTGCAAAATGTGAATTTTAAACATTTTAATTGGAAGAGAAAACCACATGAAATCTCAAAAAATCGATTGGACAAATTAACCAAGAGTGTGTTTGGATGGGCTTATTCTTACCCAAAAGAAGCTTTTTTTAAAAGAAAAGTGCTTTTAGAGTTTTTTAAAAAACGCGTCGGATGCGTCTTGGAGCGTTGACTGCGTGTCGAAAAAAGTTGACCGTGTGTCAGTGTCCGACACACAAATTTTTTAAAACAAGGTGTGTCGGTGCTTCTGAGCCTAAGGGTGTTAACTCTTGACTTGATTCGCTGAAAATTCATGTTTAGGTTGATCTATATTTAAATTCGTGCCATGTTTGTGTTAGCAAAATATGACACACAAAAATTCGTGTTGTGTAGCGTGTCAACTCACAAACATGCATTTGACCCATATATTTTAGTTATTTACCATTTTGTACAATTCATGTCATGTCAACCGGTACAGAAAGTGATTCGTGTTTTTCAATAACTCTTAAATTAAAATTTGTGTGTTATCTGTGTTGTGTCATTTCAATCGGCAAAATTTGCAAGTCGTGTTTGTATTGAAAGTTTTGACAGATTAGAAATTTGTGTCATATTTACATTGATGTATTCATATCGTGCCAAATTCGTGTCGTGTCAACATGAATTGGCACCCCTAATTGACTAGTCTAGAATTTGAAAATATCCATTTAGCGAACAAAGAGTTTTCTTATATGATGGCTAATTTTGAAATTGAATATAATGCTGGTGTTCTGGTTGGGATGCCTAATGAAGGTTTTGGAAAAACATTTAAGGATGACAATACTTTCGACAAGTTCCTAGTGAAGAAGCTCCACTTGGTACTTGCCCAACGTGTGACAAAGGTATAGCGATTTGTCTTTGATCCTGAGGGAGGCACACCTCAACCTAGAGGACGAGACTATTTTGAAGGACGATCAAAAATTGCACTCAAATTTATCCTTATCCTAGTTGTTTGTTATTAGACTAATTTATCTTTATCTTTATTATTTAAAATTAGCGATATTAACTTAGTAGTTATCTTAAGAGTATTATTAATTTTTAATTTAAATTAGAATTTTCTTATCTTTATTTTAGATATAGTTTTTTAAATTATTATCGGAGTAAGCATGTGAAAAGAAAAAGAAAAAAATTAAATATCTATCCTAATGTTGCAATATCCTTCCCAATCTCTTATTTTTTTCTTTTTTGGTAGATTCCCAATCTCTTCTTTATCTTTCTAATTCTGTTCTAATGCTCTGGCCACTGACAGAGCCAAGAATTTGAAAGGGGATATGCACATGTCGAACTGAATCAAATTTTTTGAAAAATCGAACCGAATTAATTTAAATGGTTCGGTTCAGAAGTGGTTCGGTTCGGTTCAAAACTGGTTCGGTTCAGAAGTGATTCGGTTCGGTTGGAAATAGTTCGGTTCGGAACCGGTTCAGGTCTACCCTCTATTGAAAAGAAAAAATAAAAAATAAATAAAGTTATAAAAATCAATTTGGTTCGGTCTGAAAACGATTCGGTTCTTAAACTGGTTCTAAAAACCGATTCGGTTCATGAACTGATTTTTAAAAACCAATTATTTTAAAGACGGTTCGATTCAGTTCATAATTCGGTTCAGTTTTTTGGTTATTTTGTCTTGTAAGTCTCTAAAGCAGTGCACCAATAATGGCAGAGTTTCTGAAGCAACCCTTTTTTCAATTCCTTTTATCAGAAACTGTAACATATCATGAAATGAAGCAAATCTTCTTGATGAAATGTTGACAAAGTTAGGGTATGTGAAATTCAAACTATGCACGGATACTGATTCGTAATCATGTTCTGATGGACCATGAACTGTAAAACTTGGACTACATAGATACTAGGCTTGATCTGCAATGCCCTGTGCTTCTTAAAAGAAGGAACATATAAGAGACCAAGTAAATTTAGGGGGCGGTGGCACCCCCCCGTTTCGCCTCTGGCTCTAGCGTCAGCAACTTGCTTCTATGGCTTATTTTTCGTAATTTGAATTATTTTGCCCGGGGGCATTTGAATAGCAAGCAATCAAAATAGCTTGGAAATTGGATTCAGGAATGTTGGTGTGAAATGGGACTCTCCCGCAAGGTTGTAAAAATTGTACTACGAATAATAGAATCATACAATTCTATGTGTTATTCGAACTCTAGGGATCCGGATCCCAGCTCAAAACACGCCTTGGTTGAATCGATTGCGAATCGTGTGCACACTCAAAAAATTACATAGATCGTGTGTTTCCAACCAGTCTCAAAATTCAACCAAAGGCATGGTGGTGGGTTAGGTAGAGAGAAGTAAACCCAGTCAAGCACAAAAAGTGTCACCTACCCAAACTTAAACTATGACATTTTACTGTGTTTGGAGACCTACTTTTACCCAAACTCAAACCTACCTTCACCCAGTCCCTCCTTGCCTTCTTCCTTCCAATCTGAGATAAGGTGCAGCCTTGGATAGGCTATATATGGTGCCATGGTGGTATGCAACTTTTACTTAACAATGGAGTGACATTGCGAAATTACTAAGAACTTAAATATTTAATAAACTAGTTTTGTCTAAGGATTAAAAATATAAACCAAGACAGCTTCTCACAAATTAAGAAATAAAGAAAGAGAAGAACCATTAATGTGGCAATGGGAAAGTTAGTCTAACAATAACAATTATTGAGAGTAATTAAAACTTATATATTCTAGATAACAAAGTATTGATGAATGGGTCGCATCTAGGGGTGTGCAGGGAGCGGGTTGGTTCGGTTATTATCAAAAATCAAATCAAACCAGTTTTAAATGGTTTGGATTTTAAACCGAACCACTTATTTTTATAAAAATCGGTTTTTAATTTGTCCAAACCGTTTTTAAAATCGGTTTTGAATTAAAACCGATTTAAACCAGTTTTAATTCAAAACCGGTTATGAAACCATAAACCGATTATAAAGTTCAAAACCGGTTTTTTAACAAATTCAAAATTGATTTTTGATGGATTGTGCTATTTTTATAAGTAGTCGTTTGTTTTTCCCGATTATAGGTAGTTGACCAACTATTTCTTGTAAGAATCTTCATTGTTTTGGAACTCTCAGGACGAAATGATTCTTATAGAAATTGTTCACGTTGTTTTTATGGAAAGCATTTCCATCAAAATTTTCCGCAAAAAATTTTGACGAAAAATATTTCCATCAAAATTTGTGACTAAAAACATATATGTAAAAAAATTTGACGGAAAATTTTTTTTGTCGAATTTTTTTACGGAATATAAATTTCGTCAAAACATTTCCCTCAAAATATTTCACAAAAAAATATATTTATCGAAATTTTTGTCGAAAAAATATTTCTATCGAAATTTTCCACGAAACACATTTCCTTCGAAAACTTTTGACGAAAAAAAATTCATCAAAAATCATTACGGAATTCAAATTCCGTCGAAAGTTTTCGACGAAAACATTTTCGTTAAACATTTTGACAAAAAAATTTCCGTCGAAATTTTTAACGAAACACATTTTCATCGAAATTTTCGACGAAAAATATTTCCGTCAAGTTTTTTGATAAAAAACATTTCCATCAAAATTTTCAATGGAACACATTTCTAGGAAAAAATTTCGTAAAAATTTTATGACGAACAATATTTCGATAAAAAATTTTGACAAAAATGTTTTTCGTCAAAAAATTTGAGGGAAATGATTGGAGGAAATTAGATTCCATAAAGAACTTTGACAAAAAAAATTTCTGTCGGAATTTTTTATAGAAATATTTTCCATCAAAAAAAATTTCTGAAATATTTTTCGTCAAAAAATTTTACGTAAATATTTTTGGTCAAAATTTTCGCTGTAAATGTGTTTTGTTGAAAATTTTGTTGGAAATATTTTTTGTCGAAAATTTGGACGGAAATATTTTCCGTAAAAAAATTTGATGAAATTATTTTCTTTCAATTTTTTTTATGAAAATGTGTTTCGTCAAAAAAAATTACAGAATTATTTTTCGTTGAAAAGTTTGACAGAATTGTTTCTGACTAAAGTTTCGACGGAATTTAGATTCTATCAAGAATTTTGACTGAAATATTTCGTCCCTCAAAAATTTATGTCAGTGATTATGACAAAATCTTGTTTCGTCTCTAGTTTCAACGAATTTTTTTTTTGTTTCTATTTTCTACGTAATATGATTTTTATCAAAATTTTCGACGAAATATTTTTCGTCGATAAATTTTGTTAGTATTTGAGACTTTTCTAATAATGTCACATTTAAAAATGATTCATATTTATGTAATTTTCACATTTTAATGTTAAGGATAAAAGTAATACTTATTTGTTCTTTAATTGTAAAATAGTTTGGTTATGGATAACCATGGATAACCAATTATTTTTATGGTTTGGTAAATAACCAGTTTATAAAATAAAATGCAGTTTCATATGAAACCGGTTTTTAAAAATAATCGATTTTTAAAATGTGGAGCAGTTTGGTTATGGATCGGTTTGATTCTTTTGAATATTTTGAACACCCCTAGTCCCATCACCTATTTCTCTAATCTTTCTATAATACACATGTTAACAGAACCTTAAGAAAAAGCATTATTATATTTGAAGTAAGAATGTTGCTTGCTTTTTTTTTTTTTTTAACTTTGAATAGGAGGAGGTTTGTGCCAAGAATCCTAAGTATATCACTCCATAACATGAAAAATAAGTTTAGTTATTCATTTTGCATTAAACAATGGGTATAGATACCTTGTACCCACAAAAAATAATAAATGAAAGACTTTGGTACAACTGTTTATTGACATTAACTGAGTTGACAATGTGAAATAAATAAGGGAAATACTACTCTCATTTTACATGAGGTAGTTATCTCATTTTCTCTCACATCGAAAATCGCACCCCTTCTTTTTTCTTTTTCTTTTTTACTTTTTAATGGTGGACCCCACTTAAACTCTCTCTATAGCATGAGATAATACTCTCATGTAACATAAGATTAATATCCCCCAATAAATAATACAGTTCACCAAATCTAAACAACAGCATATAATAGGCCAATTGGCATCATTTGATTCTTGATTGTTCCAACAAAATAAATTTAAGAAGATTACTTGCATTTTAAAGTACAATTTTGATATAATCAATTGACAATTGGTGCTGCTCATCTCTTTTCATATGGTTTCTATAACTTTCAATTCCAGTGACTTTTGATTACAAACAAATATAATACAAGTTGCAACAAATCATAGAGGGCAATCAACATATGCAAGAAACCTCAAGTAAGGATTACAGTAGACAACAAAGCAAAAGACAAATAGCCTTGAGGTTTTGTTGAGGACGGTGAACAACCATAAAAAAAAGCTATCAAAGCGGGCTGTTATTTCCTCCTTGTTAGGTTCACCTGAAATAAACATTAAATATTTGAAAACCAACGTTATTGTCAAGTTCACAAAGCCGGCTGGATTATTTACTTGCCATTCTACCATTCTAGTGCAATCAGAAGAACAAGGTGAGTGATAATTTCTCCATGGTCAAGAAGACGGTCTTGAATGTTGATATCAATTGTCTCAAATGCAAAAAGAAGCTTCTCAAAGCTGTGTCTTCCCTTCAAGGTAACCATAACACAACACTACTAGTCCTTATTCTCATCCACCTCTTTCTCCATTTGATGGGTTGAACTAAAATTTAAAATGCTTAGTGCTATTAGATAGATTAGGAAGATTGAAAATTGTAAACTTCATGTATTGGTTTAATTAACGTCTTGTAGATTTTTCATCATTCAATTGCAGGGGTAGATAAAATTGAAGCTGATGAAGGGAAGGGTACGTTGACTGTGACAGGGGATGCAGACCCATATGATATAATAGTTCGCATAAGGAAAGCTGGCAAATATGCTGAAGTTGTGAGTATTGGGCCTCCACCCGCCCCTCCAAAACAGGATGATCAGAAGAAGCCCGAAGAGAAGAAAAAGCCCGAGGAAAAGAAGAAGCCTGACCCAGTCAATCTCGATCAAATATCTCAGATTCCCTATATGCATATGCCCCATAACTACCCATCATACCAGCCGGTAACTGTGGTGCATATGAACACGTGGGACGAACCCAATTCATCATGCACTATATTGTGATGTTCAAGTTTGAACTGAACAAGCTTCAGGCCCAAAAAAAAAGAGGCGTCACCATAATTTCTTTGAATCCAAAAATGCCTTGCTATGTTCAAGGGCGATGTTCACAAACAAAATTTTAGAAATACCTTAGCACTGCTCGGTCTATTATTATAATTATGTATTTTGAAAAGTATATAGTTATAATATTAAAAAAAAAAATCTCTCTTTAGAAACTTGTTAACTAACACGGAGTGAGAATTTTTTTTTTAATATTATAACTATATATTTCCCGAAATACATAATTATAATAATACCAATACACTGAACACTAAGTCCATCAAAATTTTATTCGATCTTCACTGTGCTCATTTGCGTTTTTTTTTTTATTGTGTAGGGACATGATTCCATTGTATTTCGTCCTTTTTTTTCAAAACTGAATCAAACGTATGCTAATTGAATATTGTATTAAATTTTTTGAGAAATTTGTAATTTTTCACTTGGCTCTTTTTGGTAGCTGCCCTTAAAATTATTCTAGTGTAAAGAATTTATTTGATAATAATTCTTAGTCGGAGCTAAATTAATATTGAAAAAGAAATTTTAGAGGATTTTTTTTTTTTTTTGGATTGCTCCACTGGTTTTCGGGACTTCGCTCCGACTATATCCAGTCTAATCCGAGTCGGTTACCTAGCATTGGCAGGTGAGTCTCTCAGCGAAGATTTTCTGCGTACACAAAATCTCGAAGTCAAGTCCTTACTTAAGCAAACTCAAATACCTTACCACTTGAGTCAACCCCCGTTAGTTATTTTAGAGGATTTCTTATCTTATAGTTACTACTTACTACTGCTTACAAGTTACAACAGTGCGCGGCCCTTCCTATTTGAGGAAATGGCAGTAAAGAGTGATCGTTAATCACTATTCACTAAGAATAGCAGCACCAGAATAAGAGAAAAGTTAGAGGGTTTCAGAAAGAGGAATGAAAGGAATTTCAGCCAAAAACAGAGAAAAGAGAGAATTATTAAGAATGACTCAAATAGTTTGGCAAAAGAAACCGACAATCAGAATGACAACGCGAGCTAAAGTTACTTCTTTTGATTCAACTTTTTTGGACGCGCAAATTGCTGGATTGTATTTAGAGCAAAATCACGTGTAAAGAATATCAATACTTTGTTTTACTAAAAAAAAAAAATCAATACTTTGAGGTGTTGGGTAAGGTTTATATTCGTCAATTATTGATTGCCACGTATTGGACCCCACTCATGTGTATTTCAGAAGACATTAATAGACAAGCTGGACCCCGCTCTTGTGTATTTCAGAAGACATTGTGTAGACTGAAAACATTAATAGTCTTCAATTATTCATGAAAATTAGTAAAAGACTATGCTATAGTTATCAAGCACCTACATTTCAAAAAATTTGACGTGTCATGTCCAACACTTTTTGATACTCATCGACACTTTGACATTTTCCGACACTCTAATACTAGTTGCAAAGACTTAAAAAAAATTCAAAGGTTACGTTGCGTTGCATTTTTAATTCCAACTGTTAGATTCATTGGATTACAATTATTATTTTATTGAGTTTAATATAAACATTTGAGATATCTTATGTTTCTTTGCAAAAATAAATAGATATTATAAGTTTAGCTTTATTTTTTATTAAATTATTGAATATTAAATATAATATACACTACATAAATTAAAAATATTATATAATATCAAAATGTATCCTAACGTGTTGAAATTTAATATTTTTAAAATTAACGTGTCGAAATATCATGTTATGTCATATCTCATATCCTCTGTCAGTGTCGGTGCAACGGACCCGTGTAATCTTTTACTTGCACTGTCCAACTAGCATCAGTGAACTTTTAAAAAAAATATATAATCTTTAAGAGCAAGAGAGAAAATAAATACAAAATGAAAAAGTCGTTTCCCTTCCTGCCATTTTCATATGTTTTAATGAGAAATTACTTTTTCTATATAAGGAGAAGCAATTTCTTCTGCTGCTACTGAGAGCTCAAAAGTTGTGTATTGCTTTTTTTTTTCTTATTTCTTTTTTAAAAAATGTGGCCTCCACTTTTAATTTTCTCTCCGGCAATCTCATCACTTCTCCCTGTAAAAAGAGACGTGTAAAGCCTTTTTTTAGAGTAATAGAAAAAAGGATAAATAAGAATAATGTTGTAGGAAAAAATTGATGTCATGCAACCACTTGAGACAACACAAAGTCCTTGAAAAGAGTGCATCTTTCACTTTCTTTATTGTTATCTAGTTTGTCTTTTCTTTGTAGGAAAAAAAAAATTATTCATGTAACATGACAAAACAAAAGCCCTAGAAAAAATTGCCACGCATCTCAAACTTTCATGATTATTTACCACAAGGTTGGGAGTAATAAAAAAGAAAAAAATTACTCTTATGCTACATGTAATAACTTTTTATCCTATACATCTTTCGATAACTGTGCTACATTTTTCTTTTATTTTCTTTTTATTTTTCAGATGGTAGAGCCTACAAATTTATCTCTATGACATGAGATAACTTATCTCCTTTAACATAAGATTAATAAAACTCAATAAAAAAAATCCTTTCCCTTCCTGCCATTTTCATATATATTTTTATAGTAATAGAAAAAATTTTCGCGCATCTCAAACTTTCATGATTATTTACCTAGGAGTTGGGAGTTTGAAGTTAAGCCTACAAAAAATACTCATTGCACTCAATCACCATTTCATGAGGATTGTTAGTTACTAGTTAAACCTATAGCCAAAAAAAATGAATTTATAAATAAAGAGAAAAATATTTGTCCTTTTAAACGATACAAAAAAGTGAGATTCATATTTTTATTTTTATTTTTTTTATTTTTTCAATAAGATTCACATCTCTTTATATTTATTTATCTCATAAAAGAATTTAAATTTGTGTTATTTAAAAGAAAACACATTTTTTCTATAAACAAATCATTAATAAACAAAGAAGTAAAGGATAATCATGACTTACCCAAATGAAACTTAAGAGGCCAAATTGACCGTAGACCAATGGCACACAATAGGACAAAATGTAAAAGGAAAAAGCATCCATCCGTACCAAAAGAAGAACAAGAAGAAGAAGAAAAGAAACAGGATTGAGCTCTAGCTGTGGTGGCCTCCATATCTATCAAAAGGATAATGCCACACATGCTTAAGCCAAAAAAGATTAACAATGACACGTACGAGACTTTTCTCTTATTAAAAAGTTAACCATGCCTTCGGCATCGGATTGCAAAGGAGATTGATATAGCCACTGTTGCTGACCATATTACACTTCACATAATTGGATGGCACAATTTTCCATCACTGATGTGGACTGGTGACAGCAGAACCAAAGGCGCATGAACTTGCATTCATTTGAATTTAACTTCTTTTTTTATTTACAAATCATATTTTTTTTTTATAAAAAATAATTTTATTCGAAGTGAATTTTGGATTAAGATTTTAAATTTTTTTCAAAAATATTACTATAGAGAATTGAATGTAAATTTTTACCCTACCAGCTCAACTTTTATATACTAATCAAGCTATTTAAGTTGAATTTAATGTTTTATTCTTTATGAATTTTTCGTCTGTCGAACTAAAACAAGTCCGGCACGGGACTTTCAACTTTCAAGGGCACTAGTTGAATCCGTACCTAGGATTGTGGGACATATGCGGCTGTGAGTGACACATAATAATTAAACTTCAAGTAAATTTCAATAGGCTCTTTGATCAATTAGAGATTTATCCCATTTAAATATAGGAAAAGTGTGTATAATTTTAAAGGATGTAAAGTTGTATCATTTTAAGAGAGAGAAAGAGATAGATTAAGGAGGAGAGAGAGTTGACAAAAAAAATAAAGGTGTGGGTCCCACCTCTTTGTGAGAGTGAAATGATGTAAGTTGTATAATTTTAAATGATAGACACTTTTCCCTTTAAATATATCAATTTGATATCTGGCGGACAGAAATTACAATTTAGGATCTTTAAGTGTCGCTGGGAACCCAGGGCCTTTAAATCTCGCCCCCAGCTTCATGCGGCACTCATTTAAATTTATAAATTTTTATTTTTTTTGAACCTAGTGTCGTCTACGTACCTCTGCGTCACTCATTTAAATTTTTTTATTTTTTTTGGATTTCAGTGTCGCCCCCACCAATAAACGGCACTCATTTAATAATTTTTTTTTTTTTACATTCAAGCCCCCCCCCCCCCCCCCCAACTCAATCCTCCCCAGCCCTGCGTGCCCTCTCTCATCCTTCTCTTTCATCCAATTTTTCACCGACTGTGATTCCTCCTCTCTTAACTTTGAATAATCTTTTTCACCAGACAAAAAAGTTAGAGTGAGTAATTTGCAAGGAAGTGTTTTTTTATATAAATCGTGTACACCTTCTTGTTGCTCACCTATGTTAGAAAGCATGTTCATCTAAGGAAAAATGATTACCTCTTGAAACTTAAGGTAGATATTGCCTACAGATACAACAGAAAACTTGGCTGGTACAATCAATGTAGCACCTTCTCGTTGCTGTAAGAAATAGACCAAGAATTTTTTATTTTTTTGGGTCTAAGTACAAATCAACAAAGCTCATGCATAAATATCTCATCCAATTTTTGTTTTCCAACCATCCAAAATTTGGCTAGGAGTTACAAGATAACAATATATACATTTGCTAGAAGCATAAATATTTCATCCAATTTTTATTTTCCAACCATCCAAAGTTTGCATGCAAATCATAGGTCTTGAATTTACCCAAAATGTCTATTGCAATAAAGGTTATGCAGCATAAGTCATGTTCATGGAGACTGATAGCAAAAATAAAAAGGGGAAAGTTCAAATGTTCTTAATTCATTTTTAATTTATTTGCTACAAGCAGTGAGTTCCTGTTCTTCATTTTCAACCATTCCTTCGTATTTTGTCTTCCTTACCTGTTTGGTGGCTCTCTTGGCCTAGAGGATCTTCTCACGAGCATTTTCTGCATGCTCTGTGAAATCCGAGGCATAAGTTCCCTCACTCTTTATA